CTCTCTTGCTCATCTCTCTTGCGCCCCTCTCTTGCTCATCTCTCTTGCGCCCCTCTCTTGCTCATCTCTCTTGCGCCCCTCTCTTGCTCATCTCTCTTGCGCCCCTCTCTTGCTCATCTCTCTTGCGCCCCTCTCTTGCTCATCTCTCTTGCGCCCCTCTCTTGCTCATCTCTCTTGCGCCCCTCTCTTGCTCATCTCTCTTGCGCCCCTCTCTTGCTCATCTCTCTTGCGCCCCTCTCTTGCTCATCTCTCTTGCGCCCCTCTCTTGCTCATCTCTCTTGCGCCCCTCTCTTGCTCATCTCTCTTGCGCCCCTCTCTTGCTCATCTCTCTTGCGCCCCTCTCTTGCTCATCTCTCTTGCGCCCCTCTCTTGCTCATCTCTCTTGCGCCCCTCTCTTGCTCATCTCTCTTGCGCCCCTCTCTTGCTCATCTCTCTTGCGCCCCTCTCTTGCTCATCTCTCTTGCGCCCCTCTCTTGCTCATCTCTCTTGCGCCCCTCTCTTGCTCATCTCTCTTGCGCCCCTCTCTTGCTCATCTCTCTTGCGCCCCTCTCTTGCTCATCTCTCTTGCGCCCCTCTCTTGCTCATCTCTCTTGCGCCCCTCTCTTGCTCATCTCTCTTGCGCCCCTCTCTTGCTCATCTCTCTTGCGCCCCTCTCTTGCTCATCTCTCTTGCGCCCCTCTCTTGCTCATCTCTCTTGCGCCCCTCTCTTGCTCATCTCTCTTGCGCCCCTCTCTTGCTCATCTCTCTTGCGCCCCTCTCTTGCTCATCTCTCTTGCGCCCCTCTCTTGCTCATCTCTCTTGCGCCCCTCTCTTGCTCATCTCTCTTGCGCCCCTCTCTTGCTCATCTCTCTTGCGCCCCTCTCTTGCTCATCTCTCTTGCGCCCCTCTCTTGCTCATCTCTCTTGCGCCCCTCTCTTGCTCATCTCTCTTGCGCCCCTCTCTTGCTCATCTCTCTTGCGCCCCTCTCTTGCTCATCTCTCTTGCGCCCCTCTCTTGCTCATCTCTCTTGCGCCCCTCTCTTGCTCATCTCTCTTGCGCCCCTCTCTTGCTCATCTCTCTTGCGCCCCTCTCTTGCTCATCTCTCTTGCGCCCCTCTCTTGCTCATCTCTCTTGCGCCCCTCTCTTGCTCATCTCTCTTGCGCCCCTCTCTTGCTCATCTCTCTTGCGCCCCTCTCTTGCTCATCTCTCTTGCGCCCCTCTCTTGCTCATCTCTCTTGCGCCCCTCTCTTGCTCATCTCTCTTGCGCCCCTCTCTTGCTCATCTCTCTTGCGCCCCTCTCTTGCTCATCTCTCTTGCGCCCCTCTCTTGCTCATCTCTCTTGCGCCCCTCTCTTGCTCATCTCTCTTGCGCCCCTCTCTTGCTCATCTCTCTTGCGCCCCTCTCTTGCTCATCTCTCTTGCGCCCCTCTCTTGCTCATCTCTCTTGCGCCCCTCTCTTGCTCATCTCTCTTGCGCCCCTCTCTTGCTCATCTCTCTTGCGCCCCTCTCTTGCTCATCTCTCTTGCGCCCCTCTCTTGCTCATCTCTCTTGCGCCCCTCTCTTGCTCATCTCTCTTGCGCCCCTCTCTTGCTCATCTCTCTTGCGCCCCTCTCTTGCTCATCTCTCTTGCGCCCCTCTCTTGCTCATCTCTCTTGCGCCCCTCTCTTGCTCATCTCTCTTGCGCCCCTCTCTTGCTCATCTCTCTTGCGCCCCTCTCTTGCTCATCTCTCTTGCGCCCCTCTCTTGCTCATCTCTCTTGCGCCCCTCTCTTGCTCATCTCTCTTGCGCCCCTCTCTTGCTCATCTCTCTTGCGCCCCTCTCTTGCTCATCTCTCTTGCGCCCCTCTCTTGCTCATCTCTCTTGCGCCCCTCTCTTGCTCATCTCTCTTGCGCCCCTCTCTTGCTCATCTCTCTTGCGCCCCTCTCTTGCTCATCTCTCTTGCGCCCCTCTCTTGCTCATCTCTCTTGCGCCCCTCTCTTGCTCATCTCTCTTGCGCCCCTCTCTTGCTCATCTCTCTTGCGCCCCTCTCTTGCTCATCTCTCTTGCTCATCTCTCTTGCGCCCCTCTCTTGCTCATCTCTCTTGCGCCCCTCTCTTGCTCATCTCTCTTGCGCCCCTCTCTTGCTCATCTCTCTTGCGCCCCTCTCTTGCTCATCTCTCTTGCGCCCCTCTCTTGCTCATCTCTCTTGCGCCCCTCTCTTGCTCATCTCTCTTGCGCCCCTCTCTTGCTCATCTCTCTTGCGCCCCTCTCTTGCTCATCTCTCTTGCGCCCCTCTCTTGCTCATCTCTCTTGCGCCCCTCTCTTGCTCATCTCTCTTGCGCCCCTCTCTTGCTCATCTCTCTTGCGCCCCTCTCTTGCTCATCTCTCTTGCGCCCCTCTCTTGCTCATCTCTCTTGCGCCCCTCTCTTGCTCATCTCTCTTGCGCCCCTCTCTTGCTCATCTCTCTTGCGCCCCTCTCTTGCTCATCTCTCTTGCGCCCCTCTCTTGCTCATCTCTCTTGCGCCCCTCTCTTGCTCATCTCTCTTGCGCCCCTCTCTTGCTCATCTCTCTTGCGCCCCTCTCTTGCTCATCTCTCTTGCGCCCCTCTCTTGCTCATCTCTCTTGCGCCCCTCTCTTGCTCATCTCTCTTGCGCCCCTCTCTTGCTCATCTCTCTTGCGCCTCTCTCTTGCTCATCTCTCTTGCGCCCCTCTCTTGCTCATCTCTCTTGCGCCCCTCTCTTGCTCATCTCTCTTGCGCCCCTCTCTTGCTCATCTCTCTTGCGCCCCTCTCTTGCTCATCTCTCTTGCGCCCCTCTCTTGCTCATCTCTCTTGCGCCCCTCTCTTGCTCATCTCTCTTGCGCCCCTCTCTTGCTCATCTCTCTTGCGCCCCTCTCTTGCTCATCTCTCTTGCGCCCCTCTCTTGCTCATCTCTCTTGCGCCCCTCTCTTGCTCATCTCTCTTGCGCCCCTCTCTTGCTCATCTCTCTTGCGCCCCTCTCTTGCTCATCTCTCTTGCGCCCCTCTCTTGCTCATCTCTCTTGCGCCCCTCTCTTGCTCATCTCTCTTGCGCCCCTCTCTTGCTCATCTCTCTTGCGCCCCTCTCTTGCTCATCTCTCTTGCGCCCCTCTCTTGCTCATCTCTCTTGCGCCCCTCTCTTGCTCATCTCTCTTGCGCCCCTCTCTTGCTCATCTCTCTTGCGCCCCTCTCTTGCTCATCTCTCTTGCGCCCCTCTCTTGCTCATCTCTCTTGCGCCCCTCTCTTGCTCATCTCTCTTGCGCCCCTCTCTTGCTCATCTCTCTTGCGCCCCTCTCTTGCTCATCTCTCTTGCGCCCCTCTCTTGCTCATCTCTCTTGCGCCCCTCTCTTGCTCATCTCTCTTGCGCCCCTCTCTTGCTCATCTCTCTTGCGCCCCTCTCTTGCTCATCTCTCTTGCGCCCCTCTCTTGCTCATCTCTCTTGCGCCCCTCTCTTGCTCATCTCTCTTGCGCCCCTCTCTTGCTCATCTCTCTTGCGCCCCTCTCTTGCTCATCTCTCTTGCGCCCCTCTCTTGCTCATCTCTCTTGCGCCCCTCTCTTGCTCATCTCTCTTGCGCCCCTCTCTTGCTCATCTCTCTTGCGCCCCTCTCTTGCTCATCTCTCTTGCGCCCCTCTCTTGCTCATCTCTCTTGCGCCCCTCTCTTGCTCATCTCTCTTGCGCCCCTCTCTTGCTCATCTCTCTTGCGCCCCTCTCTTGCTCATCTCTCTTGCGCCCCTCTCTTGCTCATCTCTCTTGCGCCCCTCTCTTGCTCATCTCTCTTGCGCCCCTCTCTTGCTCATCTCTCTTGCGCCCCTCTCTTGCTCATCTCTCTTGCGCCCCTCTCTTGCTCATCTCTCTTGCGCCCCTCTCTTGCTCATCTCTCTTGCGCCCCTCTCTTGCTCATCTCTCTTGCGCCCCTCTCTTGCTCATCTCTCTTGCGCCCCTCTCTTGCTCATCTCTCTTGCGCCCCTCTCTTGCTCATCTCTCTTGCGCCCCTCTCTTGCTCATCTCTCTTGCGCCCCTCTCTTGCTCATCTCTCTTGCGCCCCTCTCTTGCTCATCTCTCTTGCGCCCCTCTCTTGCTCATCTCTCTTGCGCCCCTCTCTTGCTCATCTCTCTTGCGCCCCTCTCTTGCTCATCTCTCTTGCGCCCCTCTCTTGCTCATCTCTCTTGCGCCCCTCTCTTGCTCATCTCTCTTGCGCCCCTCTCTTGCTCATCTCTCTTGCGCCCCTCTCTTGCTCATCTCTCTTGCGCCCCTCTCTTGCTCATCTCTCTTGCGCCCCTCTCTTGCTCATCTCTCTTGCGCCCCTCTCTTGCTCATCTCTCTTGCGCCCCTCTCTTGCTCATCTCTCTTGCGCCCCTCTCTTGCTCATCTCTCTTGCGCCCCTCTCTTGCTCATCTCTCTTGCGCCCCTCTCTTGCTCATCTCTCTTGCGCCCCTCTCTTGCTCATCTCTCTTGCGCCCCTCTCTTGCTCATCTCTCTTGCGCCCCTCTCTTGCTCATCTCTCTTGCGCCCCTCTCTTGCTCATCTCTCTTGCGCCCCTCTCTTGCTCATCTCTCTTGCGCCCCTCTCTTGCTCATCTCTCATATCCCCCTTCCCCCTATTCTGCCCCACAATCCCCCACCCATCTCCCCACCCCTCTATCGAATGCCCCTTTCATTAAAGTAGACATTGAGGTACAGACAGGTGGAAGATTGGCCTATGAACCTTTATATGGGGCTAACAATTCTCCTCCTTATCTAGCCCTCCAGGGTTGCAAAGCAGTCCCCTGGGTTTAGCACCCCCTCTGGCCCCCCAACTGGCGGGTTCTCCGCTTGTGCCGCCAGGTTCACCCCTCTGTCCCACTCTCTCAGGGCCAACAAGGCCATGTACTTTGGAATGGACGATTCTGACCGACCTTCTCCTAGCTCCCCTCTCCCTCCCTGCTGCCATTCATTACTCACACTGTAACCCTGTTTCCCCTATGCTGCCACTCCCTTCCCCCCTCAACCCCGCTCCATCACCCATCTTCTCTCAGGGCCAACAAGGCCATGTTCTCTGGAATAGACGATTACGACCGACCTTCTCCCTGCTCCCCTCTCCCTCCCTGCAGATCATTATTCACTCTGTAACTTGCCAATCCTCCCCCTGCCTCTCCACCCTCCCCCGCCCCCTTCCCCGTCCCTCGCAAATCTACCCAGGGCCAACAAGGCCATGTACTCTGGGATAGACGATTCCGACCTCCTCCCCGCACCCCTCTCCCTCCCTGCTGCCACCACAACTGACGGCACCGGGACCAATGGCAGCGTGCCAGCTGTCCAGATGCCGATTCTGATTGGCCCAAATGAGGGAGCGAATGGGGAGGAGGAGGATGGGGAGGGGAGGAGGGTGGGTGGCAGGGGTGACGGGGCAGGTGACGTGGCGGTTATAGCTGGGGAGGGGGGAAGAAGGAGAGGGGGACTGAGTGGGGGAGAAGGGGAAGGAGGGAAAGGGAAGGGAGACGAGGGGACGAGAGCAGAACACTGGACGGCTGAGGAGGTAGAGAGAGAAGCGATGGAATATGAAACCAGTACCGGAAAGGGAAAGCTTGGGACAGGAGGAGAAGGCAAGGGGCAGCAAGCAGGGGAGAGCCAGCAGAACCAACAGCAGAACCAGCAGCAGAAGGAGCAGCTGCAACTGCAAGTCCCGGGGCTGATATCCCGTGCCATGCTGCCTCGATCCCAATGGGTGAATCTGGTGATGCTGGATGTGATTAAGGAGAGAAACAGGCCCATTCAGCCCCCCAAGAAACCTGAGCAAGCTCCCTTTTTCCTCCCCTCTGTGCCGACGTTTTCCGGAGCGATTCACTTTGCTCCTCCCCAGGCCGGTACTGCTGGAGGCTCGGCCGAACCTGCTGAGGCTGCCGGTTCGGCTGAACCTGTTGCCACAGCTGCCGGTGCTGTTGATGCCGGTGCTTCAGGTGGTTCGTCAGGTGGTGCTTTGCCAGGGTGGGGGGATGAGGAAGATGCGGAGATGGAGGAAGGGGAGGAGGAGGAGGAGGGAGAGGAGGGGAGTGAGGAGGGGGAGGAGGGAGGCGAGGAAGGGGAGGAGGGAGGGAAGAAGGGGAGTGTGTTGGGGAAGAGGAGGCATGGGAGGGTGGTGAGAGGAGGCATAGAGGAGTCTGAAATGGACACGGAGCTGATGAGGGCGATCAGGAGAGATGCACAGTGCGAGCCAGCAGACTGTGAGTCAACATTTCCCCTTTGCATGCAGCCACAATGTGAGTGGCTTTGCTAGTGAAATGCCACATGGGGAGGCATGGAACGCCACAACAGCAGGGAGGTGTGGGTGGGACGAGTGTGAAATGGACACTGAACTGCTACGAGCCATCAGAATAGGCGCGCAGAGCAAACCAGCAGACTGTGAGTGGCTTGTCTCTCTGCATGCATGGGGCTTTGGAGCATACGAGTGATTTTTGAGAATTCACATGCATGCATGCATGGGGCTTTGGCGCATGTACCCCCACAGGGGGCCGGGGCTGGGGAGGTCTGTACGAGTATGAGGTGGACTCTGAACTGATGCGACCTTGACTCACTCACTACATGCACGGGATGGCGAGTGCCTTTGTTCGTAAAAGGCCAAAAGCCATGGCACTGCTGAAAGCCAAGCACCATCAGGCGTTGATCCCAACATCTTCCCTACTCGATCTCCCTCCTCACCTCTCTTCCATCTCTTTTCCCCCCCTCACTATCCCATCTCTCCCCCCATCTTCCTCTTCCTTTCCTGTCAGACTCCCAAGCCATGGCCCTGCTGAAAGCCATGTCATCATCAGCCACTGATCCCATAACCCCCCCACTCTCTCTACCCTTTGCACCTCTCTCCCCACCCCATATTTCCTATTCTCCCCCCCTCCCAGACTCCCAAGCCATGGCACTGCTGAAAGCGATGTCGCCATCATCCATTGATTTGGACGTCTTCCTTATTCAATCGCCTTGCTTACCTTTTGAGAATTCTCAAAAGCGACTCAGATTGAGCTTCCTCTTTTCACCCATACTTCCTTCTCTCTCCCCCCATCTTCCTCTTTCTTTCCTTTCAGACTCCCAAGCCATGGCCCTGCTGAAAGCCATGTCGCCGTCAGCCGTTGATCTGGAGCTGCGGGCGATCGAGATCGTCGATGACAACCCCTCACCGGCGGATCTGCACCGCGTGGCTCTATTCATGTCCTTCTTGGAGGGGAAGCTTCGAGGAAGCTGCGACTTTGAGCTGCTGCAAGCCGTGACCCACCGGTTCCTGGCGGTATGTGCATGTCTGGGAGCAAGGCTTTGTGTGGGTGGATGGGATGGGAGTGAGTGAGGATGTGTGAGGGACCGTGGGAGTGAGGATGTGTGAGGGACCGTGGGAGTGAGGATGTGTGAGGGGGGAGTGGGGATCTGGGAAAGATTGCACTTGCAGCTGCCCGTCCTTGGAACAGCAGTTTTAAGCCAACACAAATTAAATGAAATGAATGTTCCTCACACCTCTCATTCTTTGTTTTGCTCCCGCTTCTCCTCCCCCTCCCCCACACCCCTCTACATATCCACGTTTCAGCCATCTCCTCCTTCCTCCAGCTGCACGCACGCCAAGCTGACTGCCCTCAGAAAAGCACATTTCAGCAGACTCGGCTCATATGCACCCTTCCAACCAAGTCGTTACTGTGTTCCTCCCTTGTGCTATTTTGTCCCTCACCCAAAACAGATCCACGGGTCAGCCATCTCCTCCTTCCCCCAGCTGCGCGCCAAGCTTCCCGCCCTGAGAGAAGCCCAGGCATCCAGCTGGCAGCGGCTCGACGAGCTCTTTCAGAGCATTCGCTGCGTTGTGGATTTTATCGCATCTTCCTAGATAAGTAACAATTGAAGCTACAAGCGCCTTTCCAAGACGACTTTGAGACGCTCTAAAGACGGCATCCAGCTCGCAGCGGCTCGACGAGCTCTTTCGGAGCATCCGCTGCGTTGTGGATTTTATTGCTTGCTCTTAGGCGTCTATCACCGCTAGGTTACAAATGGGGTCTCAAATACCGCTTCCAGCTGGCACGCAGCGCCTGGACGAGCTCTTTCAGAGCATCCGCTGTGTTGTTTAGCACTGTTAGGGGGATGAAGTGCGGAAACACAGCCTGCAACTGGCTGGCAGCGCCTCGACTAGCTGTTACAGAACATTCGCTTCGTCGTGGACCTCATCACTACAAGGTCAGCTTCGCGCGCCTGTGTTTCAGAGTCCCCTCTGTAGTTGATTTATTCTCGCTCTGAGGTTGATTGTTTAACAAGGGAGTCTCCCACAAGTTCATTTCTAATCAAACTAGAATGCTCTAAAATGTGAATCATCTTACTGAACCACAATTAACTCATCAGATTGCCTTCAAAGGTGAAACTTGATCTGCCTATTGCATTCTAGAAAGCATTCAGGTAGAAACATCAAGAGCAACACCTATTTTGTTGGTCTTGGGGGGGTTTTATTCTATATGTTGTTGCGCGCAGCAATGCCAAACCTTAAGCATACATTCTGTACTGTATTTATTCGTAGCGTGGAGTACTGTAGACAACTATCGCCCTCTCCTTGTGCTGACAGGTGCCTGCTGCTGCTGTTGCTTGCTCTTCTGGGGAGGCTGCCTCGCTGTCTGCTCCAGTGTTGCTGCCATCTCCTCCTCTGCCTCCTGCAGAGTGGAGGGTAGAGCAGAGCAGGAAGGGGAAAGGATAGGGCACAGAAAGAGCAGGCTTTTCAGGGTGCCTGCCTCGCTGTCTGCTCCAGTGTTGCTGCCATCTCCTCCTCTGCCTCCGGCAGAGTGGAGGGTAGAGCAGAGCAGGAAGGGGAAAGGATAGGGCACAGAAAGAGCAGGCTTTTAAGGGTGCCTGCCTCGCTGTCTGCTCCAGTGTTGCTGCCATCATGGCACCGCACCGCTCCACCATGGCTTGGAACTGCCCATCGCATCCAACACCTTGAGAGAGCACCGCTCAACTCATCAACCGATACACACCACAGCACGGCACATCACAGCACAGAGTGGCAACACCGGCACTCACTTTTGAGAATTCTCAAAAGCCACCAGCACTCACCACCATGGCTTAAAACTGCTGCTCCTCATCAATCGCATCCAAGTTTCAAGTTTGAATCATGAACAGCGCTCAGCACCACACCAGCACCACAGCACACCACACCAGCACCACAGCACACCACACCAGCACCACAGCACACCACAACAACACCACAGCACACCACACCAGCATCACCCCCACGAATCACTACCATGGCTTGGAACTGCTGCTCCTCGTCGATCGCATCCAACACCTTGGGAGCATGAGCTGAAACCACACACACCACAGCACCACACCATGACGCTTACAACCAGACACTATAGCATCACAACACCCCAGCACTGCTCACCACCATGGCTTGGAATTGCTGCTCCTCGTCAATCGCATCCAACACCTTGGGATCGTTCAAAAGCTCCTGAGAGGATGAGAGAGAGAGAGAGAGAGAGAGAGAGAGAGAGAGAGAGAGAGAGAGAGAGAGAGAGAGAGAGAGAGAGAGAGAGAGAGAGAGAGAAGTGACAGGAGATAGAGAGGGAGGGAGCAAGAGAGGAGAAAGGGTTTGATTGAGTCGACTCAAACGTCACCTCAAGGAGCATAGCATGTTTGGGCAAAAAATTCGCCTCAAGTGAGCCCCATCGAATTGAAACCAGCGATATGCTACTCAAATCAGCACACCCGTGCGAGTGTGTTTGGGACTGGTGGTCCCACCCAGCTAACTTGTCTCAATACAACACACATACAACAATCCGGGTGAGTTTACTTGACCTGGCTGTACACTCGTGTACCTAAATACACGGAATGAAAAAGGTCACTGCAAGCAGCAGACTTACAGGATCCTCTGCCACTAGAATCTCGCTAGTCTTGGGGTCCTGATTGGGGATAGACCAAGAAGACATGGAAGAGTGGAGACAATATGATGATGTGCAACAAAAAAAGCTGAATCGAAGAGAAGAGGGTTGCGATTATGATAAACAGACTTCAAGATGATGAAATCAAAGCGTAAAGGGCAACGATGAAACACAAAAAAACACAGTCAGTGCGTCGGGGTGATTTGAGAATCCAAAAGAAAAAGAAAGAAAGAAAGAAAGAAAGAAAGAAAGAAAGAAAGAAAGAAAGAAAGAAAGAAAGAAAGAAAAAGAAAAAGAAAAAGAAAAAAAAAAAAAAACCAGCAACAAGAAAGCATGAGTTGGATTCCTTACCTTGTATGCGACGAACATGAGAGGATCAAAGGGCGTGTAGATCATGTATTCCTGCCCGCCCTGTTGGTGGATGGGTGCATGGAAGTAGGGGGGTAGGGGGGTTGTTGCATCGAGGGATACTCATTGTTAGAAGAGCATGAGAGGGTCGAAAAGGCCGTGTAGATCATGCATTCCTAGCCGCCCTGGTGGGGAATGCAAAGTGGGGAGACAATAAGGGTTAGGGGGGTTTTCATGGACGAACATGAGAGGGTCGAATTGCGTGTAGATCATGTTCTCTTGGCGGCCCTGGTGATGTGCCGGCCGACACGTGCGCGGGGGCAAATGGAGGTAGGCGAAGCGAAGGTGATGCATGGATATGACCTGGAGGATCGTGTTTTGAGAATTCTCAAAGCGGGGGCAAATGGAGGTAGGCGAAGCGAAGGTGATGCATGGATATGACCTGGAGGATCGTGTTTTGAGAATTCTCAAAGCGGGGGCAAATGGAGGTAGGCGAAGTTGATGCAGGGATATGACCTGGAGGATCGTGATTGCAGCTATGCATTCTATTTGGATAAGGCCACTCAGTCGGATGAACATACGAGGGTCAAAATGTGGCATGTGGATTGCCAACTGCTGGCTGATCAGTGATGATTCTCAAAGCATAAGCTTTGCCTACCTGATTCTCAAAAACTCTCAAAAAAACCATTACAGGCATACATTACGGATAAAAATGAAATTTACTTTTGAGAATTCTCAAAAGTAAAATTTACATTACGGATAAAAATGTGGTGATGTCGACCCTGATGCCAAACCTCAGGTTTGCAGTTCCAGGCAAGGGGTGCTTCCTATAACACGATCCTATAACAACTTGAACCACTTTAAACCGCCTAAAACCGGAAAAAACTGCTTGAACGGGTAGAGAGAAACTCACGGACAGAAACGTGGTGATGTCAACCCCTTCAGCCAGGGAGCCCCCAATGCCAAACCCTAATTCTGCATTTGCAGGCATGGGGATGCGACAGTGAGGAAAGAAGCAAAGATATGTGGTTGGCCTTTTCTTAGAAAGTGGTATCTTTCCAATTGGCATGTCCCGTGGCCCCCAACACCATGCCCCATGCCCGGGACCCACATGACCCATGACCTCAGCATGACCTCAGCATGACATCAGCATGACCTCACCAGTGTCCAGGTTGATGACGTCATCCTCCGTGAAGCAGATGGCTCCTCTGAGAGTGAGGGTGAAGCTGCGGGGAGAGATGGGGGGGGGGGGGGGGGAACGGGGGGAGGTGGGCGGGAGTAGGGGAGGCAGAAAGAGCAAGGGGTGATGCCAGGAAGTAGAGTCAGCTAGCTTTGGGCGCTGCGAGGGCGAAGCAGATGGCTCCTCTGAAGGTGAGGGTGAAGGTGAGGGTGAAGAGGAGGGAAAGAAAAAGTGGGGGGGAAAGAGAGATGAGCAAAAAGAAACATTCGTCTCAAAATCCCTGCTGCGCAAAACTTGTTCCTGCGATGGATTGGGTCACACAAATTGATCAAGCACATTGGTGTGGTACCTTACCAGCTCAAGGCACCTGATACGTTACATTGTAACGGTTACAAATTCACACCGTCTTCTATGCGTCTTTGATGAACAAAAGTATGTTGCATAGGAGTACTTGCCGCCACCAACGATCGCTCTAGCGGAGGAATTGAACTATAAGTTCAAACGAGTGCTGATGAACCGTCATCGACAACGTGGCCGCAAAACAATACGTGTGTTCTTTATTAAGTGGAAAGGATATGGGCCTGTACACAATTCATGGAAGCTAAGGGCGTGTTAAATCGCCAACATAGAATTTTTGGCTCCAAAACGTCGGGCCGATGTGGCGACAGTAACCCCATGACGACGCTCGTCAATCTTGTCGCATTTTTTGCCAGTTTCGCAAAAAATAACGAATTTGATGGTCGAACAAAAAGTCGACCAATTGGTCGTCGTCGCGTCGACTTAAAAACGGCCACCCATCCGTCGCGTCGTTGCGATAGAGCCGTAACTTGTTGCAAACCGCTTGCGACAGCGTTGCGACAGTCGGTACGATGTGCGCGACTCCGTCGAAAAATTTGGCCACCCCCAATTTAACAACTTTCGGAAGCGGCCTGCAAATCGGCCAAAACTGTAATTGGTGGCTGTAAAAGAGTCGACTCTGATTCGGCCACCTCGTCGTTGTTCGCGAAAAATATGACGACCATTTGGTCGTCGAAAATTCGGCCACACCCCATTTTCGGAATCTTGCGGGGATTTAACACGCCCTAAAAAACACTTGACTGAAATTACAATTACACCCCCAATTAGCCTGCCACACCCATAAACCTGCTACACCAACAGGCTGTTGTCACCCCATAGTCTCACCCGGATGGAGTCAGATGAAGGCTCTTCTTGGCCAAAGCATACGCCGCCCCGGGCATGATTCTCTCTGCTTCCTCATCGTCCACCTCTTGCAGCTCGCCTGTTCGCCCCGAGATGCGGAAGAACATGATAGGACTGCAGTGAAGTGAGTGGTGGGAGAGAAGGGTAGGAAGGAGTGAGGAGCGGTGGAGAGGGGTGACGGAAGCACTGCTGCCGAGCTCCGCCTCCCCATCGTCCACCTCTTGCAGCTCACCGGTTCGCCCCAAGATGCGGAAGAACATGATTGGACTGGAGTGACGGTCGGAGAGAAGGAGCAAGGGAATGCATGGATCGAGCGGCTTTGTAGGCGCCTAGTACGGGATTCTTTTTTTCTCTATCTCTTTTTACAAAGTTTACAGGTCCAATAATCGCGATCAGGTCAGTTAGCAGTTGCCCCCTTGATAAATGAGGCAAAGCTTGAACAACGCAATCCATTATCACACGCCTTCTGTGGTGCCTACTCACAAACTAGAAGAGATGCGGTTTGAGTGGACTCAGTGCACGTGCAGAGACAAGTGCATGGGAACATGCAGAGGCACATACGTGTTGAGGGGGCGGAGCAGGAAGAAGGGGACACCGAGCGAGTTGGACAAGCAAGAGAGGAATTAAAAAGAAAAAAAAAAAATGCGTTTTGAGTCGACTCGACTCAGAACAAGCAAAGGCACAAGCCGAAGCACATACGCGTCAAGAGGGTGGAGAAGGAAGAAGGGGACACCAGAGGGTGGAGAAGGAAGAAGGGGACACCTAGCGAGTTGGAGAAGGAGAGGAACACTCAGAACTAGCAAAGACAAATCCAGAGGCGCATGCAGAGGCACACACGTGTGAAGAGGGTGGAGCAGGAAGAAGGGGACGCCTAGCGAGTTAGAGACGCAGGGGAGGACATGGAAGATGTGTTTTGAGGCTCGGAACAAGCAAAGGCACCTGTGGATACACTTTTTCAGTGGCACATACGTGTCAAGCGGGTGCAGAAGGAAGAAGGGGACGCCTAGCGAGTTGGAGAAGGCGCGTCGAATGACACAATCCAATGAGCGGTTGGTGATGGGATCGTGCTGCATGGTGAAGGGAAGAAGTGGTGGGCAGGGGAGGAGCAGGGGCAATTAGGGGCCATGACGGCAACGAGGGGACATGACGGCAATGAGGGGACATGACGGCAATGAGGGGCCATGACGGCAATGAGCAGCCATGACGGCAATGAGGGGCCATGACGGCAATGAGGGGACATGACGGCAATGAGGGGACATGACGGCAATGAGGGGACATGACGGCAATGAGGGGCCATGACGGCAATGAGGGGCCATGACGGCAATGAGGGGCCATGACGGCAATGAGGGGCCATGACGGCAATGAGGGGCCATGACGGCAATGAGGGGCCATGACGGCAACGAGGGGACATGACGGCAATGAGGGGACATGACGGCAATGAGGGGACATGACGGCAATGAGGGGCCATGACGGCAATGAGGGGCCATGACGGCAATGAGGGGCCATGACGGCAATGAGGGGACATGACGGCCACGAAGGGGCCATGACGGCAATGAGGGGCCATGACGGCAATGAGGGGCCATGACGGCAATGAGGGGCCATGACGGCAATGAGGGGACATGACGGCAATGAGGGGACATGACGGCAATGAGGGGACATGACGGCAATGAAGGGACATGACGGCAATGAGGGGACATGACGGCAATGAGGGGACATGACGGCAATGAGGGGACATGACGGCAATGAGGGGACATGACGGCAATGAGGGGCCATGACGGCAATGAGGGGACATGACGGCAATGAAGGGCCATGACGGCAATGAGGGGCCATGACGGCAATGAGGGGCCATGACGGCAATGAGGGGCCATGACGGCAATGAGGGGCCATGACGGCAATGAGGGAGGGGCCATGACGGCAATGAGGGGCCATGACGGCAATGAGGGGCCATGACGGCAATGAGGGAGGGGCCATGACGGCAATGAGGGGCCATGATGGCAATGAGGGGCCATGACGGCAATGAGGGGCCATGACGGCAATGAGGGGCCATGACGGCAATGAGGGGCCATGACGGCAATGAGGGGCCATGACGGCAATGAGGGGCCATGACGGCAATGAGGGGCCATGACGGCAATGAGGGGCCATGACGGCAATGAGGGGCCATGACGGCAATGAGGGGCCATGACGGCAATGAGGGGCCATGACGGCAATGAGGGAGGGGCCATGACGGCAATGAGGGAGGGGCCATGACGGCAATGAGGGGCCATGACGGCAATGAGGGGCCATGACGGCAATGAGGGAGGGGCCATGACGGCAATGAGGGAGGGGCCATGACGGCAATGAGGGGCCATGACGGCAATGAGGGGCCATGACGGCAATGAGGGAGGGGCCATGACGGCAATGAGGGGCCATGACGGCAATGAGGGGCCATGACAGCAATGAGGGGCCATGACGGCAATGAGGGGCCATGACGGCAATGAGGGGCCATGACGGCAATGAGGGGCCATGACGGCAATGAGGGGCCATGACGGCAATGAGGGGCCATGACGGCAATGAGGGGCCATGACGGCAATGAGGGGTCATGACGGCAATGAGGGAGGGGCCATGACGGCAATGAGGGGCCATGACGGCAATGAGGGGCCATGACGGCAATGAGGGGCCATGACGGCAATGAGGGGCCATGACGGCAATGAGGGGCCATGACGGCAATGAGGGGCCATGACGGCAATGAGGGGCCATGACGGCAATGAGGGGCCATGACGGCAATGAGGGGACATGACGGCAATGAGGGGACATGACGGCAATGAGGGGACATGACGGCAATGAAGGGACATGACGGCAATGAGGGGACATGACGGCAATGAGGGGACATGACGGCAATGAGGGGACATGACGGCAATGAGGGGACATGACGGCAATGAGGGGCCATGACGGCAATGAGGGGACATGACGGCAATGAAGGGCCATGACGGCAATGAGGGGCCATGACGGCAATGAGGGGCCATGACGGCAATGAGGGGCCATGACGGCAATGAGGGGCCATGACGGCAATGAGGGAGGGGCCATGACGGCAATGAGGGGCCATGACGGCAATGAGGGGCCATGACGGCAATGAGGGAGGGGCCATGACGGCAATGAGGGGCCATGATGGCAATGAGGGGCCATGACGGCAATGAGGGGCCATGACGGCAATGAGGGGCCATGACGGCAATGAGGGGCCATGACGGCAATGAGGGGCCATGACGGCAATGAGGGGCCATGACGGCAATGAGGGGCCATGACGGCAATGAGGGGCCATGACGGCAATGAGGGGCCATGACGGCAATGAGGGGCCATGACGGCAATGAGGGGCCATGACGGCAATGAGGGAGGGGCCATGACGGCAATGAGGGAGGGGCCATGACGGCAATGAGGGGCCATGACGGCAATGAGGGGCCATGACGGCAATGAGGGAGGGGCCATGACGGCAATGAGGGAGGGGCCATGACGGCAATGAGGGGCCATGACGGCAATGAGGGGCCATGACGGCAATGAGGGAGGGGCCATGACGGCAATGAGGGGCCATGACGCCAATGAGGGGCCATGACAGCAATGAGGGGCCATGACGGCAATGAGGGGCCATGACGGCAATGAGGGGCCATGACGGCAATGAGGGGCCATGACGGCAATGAGGGGCCATGACGGCAATGAGGGGCCATGACGGCAATGAGGGGCCATGACGGCAATGAGGGGTCATGACGGCAATGAGGGAGGGGCCATGACGGCAATGAGGGGCCATGACGGCAATGAGGGGCCATGACGGCAATGAGGGGCCATGACGGCAATGAGGGGCCATGACGGCAATGAGGGGCCATGACGGCAATGAGGGGCCATGACGGCAATGAGGGGCCATGACGGCAATGAGGGGCCATGACGGCAATGAGGGGCCATGACAGCAATGAGGGGCCATGACGGCAATGAGGGGCCATGACGGCAATGAGGGGCCATGACGGCAATGAGGGGCCATGACGGCAATGAGGAGCCATGACGGCAATGAGGGGCCATGACGGCAATGAGGGGCCATGACGGCAATGAGGGGCCATGACGGCAATGAGGGGCCATGACGGCAATGAGGGGCCATGACGGCAATGAGGGGCCATGACGGGGCCATGACGGCAATGAGGGGCCATGACGGCAATGAGGGGCCATGACAGCAATGAGGGGCCATGACGGCAATGAGGGGCCATGACGGCAATGAGGGGCCATGACGGCAATGAGGGGCCATGACGGCAATGAGGGGCCATGACGGCAATGAGTGGCCATGACGGCAATGAGGGAGGGGCCATGACGGCAATGAGGGGCCATGACGGCAATGAGGGGCCATGACGGCAATGAGGGGCCATGACGGCAATGAGGGGCCATGACGGCAATGAGGGGCCATGACGGCAATGAGGGGCCATGACGGCAATGAGGGGCCATGACGGCAATGAGGGGCCATGACGGCAATGAGGGAGGGGCCATGACGGCAATGAGGGAGGGGCCATGACGGCAATGAGGGGCAAGCGAGTTGGAGAAGGTGCGTCAAATGACACGATCGAAAGAACGGCTGGTGATGGGATCGCAGAGGAAGCAAAAACTGGGTGGGGGATGCAGGAACGGGGGAGGGGAAGGAAGAAGATAAACCAAGGAGCGGTTGGTGATGGGGTCATGCGGGCAGGGAGAGAGAAGGGAAGATGGGATGAGAAAGGGGAGGGGTGACAGTGGGCATGAATGCTGGGGAGGGCACGTCGAATGACACAGTCCAAGGAGACTCACAATGGTGAGTGTTTTACTCTCAGCAGGAGCAGCCGTTGTGGCTCTCAGCAGGAGCAGCCGATGTGGCTCAGGAGCAGCCAGCACCACCTCCCCCTCATCGTCCAACGTGAGCCCCACCCCTCCCTTTTGAGAATTCTCAAAAGCGATTTCTCAAATGAGAATTCTCAAAAGCGATTTCTCAAATGAGAATTCTCAAAAGCGATTTCTCAAATGAGAAATCTCAAAAGCGATTTCTCAAATGAGAAATCTCAAAAGCGATTTCTCAAATGAGAAATCTCAAACACAGCACCTCCCCCTCATTGGCCAACATGAGCCCCACCCATCCCCCTTCCTTCCCCCCCACTTGGATCTGACTGCTTCAACCACCACAAACCACGATACCACACAGCACCGTAGCTTACAATGGTGAGTGTTCTCCTCTCAGCAGCAGCGGCCAGCACCACCTCCCCTTCATCGTCCAGCACAAACCCCGCCGGTGAGTGAACCAGTTGGTATGGTTGACCTTGACACTTACAATGGCACAAGGGAACAACCACTAAGGCACTCACAATGGTGAGTGTTCTCCTCTCAGCAGGAGCAGCCAGCACCACCTCTCCCTCATCGTCCAGCACAAACACTGCTAGTGGACTGCTGACATGGTAACCACACTACCAGCAGACACACACTCACAATTGTAAGTGTTCTCCTCTCAGCAGGAGCGGCCAGCACCACCTCCCCATCATCGTCCAACACAAACCCCGCCGGTGGGCTCGGCATGGGAAGCTTCAGCGCTTCTTCCTCCTCTGAATCACCCCCTTCCTCCTCCTCCTCCTCCTCTTCCTCCTCCACATCACTCCCTCCTCCTCTTCCTCCTCCTCTACCCCAGAATCTCTCCTCCTCACTGCCACTATCATTGTCAGACCCCTCTCTTCTGGTTGCCTGCATTGAGTAAGAAAGATTGTGACAATGAGAGGGATGCTGGTGTGGGGTGAGAGAGGGATGCTGGTGTGGGCAAGTGAGCGGTGAGGTCATGACATTCAGACCCTCACAAAACCCAAGACTGAGATCATGATATTTTAACAGAACCGAAGCTCTACCAACCCTATCATTAACTCTAACTGCAACGTTGATCCGCTTCCTTTTGTCCTTGCAAAGCCATTCCGCCCTCGCTAAACCCCAAATCTCGGAACCCTAGAAATCGCCCATCCAAAATGGGCCCAATTTCTCCATCCAGATTCCCTTCTCTCAAACAAAGTAAAAGGACTGAGCTCCTCTCAACCCATCTTCATTCCTTTCCTCCCTCAACCCCGCTTAAGGGCCTTGTCTCTCTCGATTCCCCAAAATGTTCCTTCCATCCTCTCATCTTCCCTCAACCCTACCATACCTTTGACGCCTCGAAAATTGAGGCGTTCCCTGAACGAATTACTTCCGCGCTTCCCCGCTGCAGTCCCTATCGTTTCTCAACTCCCAAATCTCATTCACGAACCTCCTCCTCAAAAGTTGCCCGCTTCAGTCTGAATATTGGATCCGCGATTTATTCCTAGTGCCTCTCTTCCTTCATTCTAACCGCTCATTTCCCTTCACTCTACCTGCTTTCTTGGCCCCCCTGCCGCAGAACCCGCCGATTTTCCCGCGCCTTTCGCTCCGCCTTTCCGGTTGTTCTTCCCCGCTTTCGCGCTACCACCGGTTCCGCTGCTACTGCTGCTACCGGCTCTGCTGATAGTGGTCGTACCGCTTTCCCGAACGCGGCCCGCACTCGTGCTGCGACTAGCCAATGCGACAGTGTGACGGTTTTGTGTCGGCCATGCGATCGTGCGACAACAGCATGTTCTGGATATCTCTCGAGATACGGCTGCGCACGGCACGCTGCGCGCCAAGCTGGCAGGGGGGTGTGACTGTAACGACTTCATCCTGCCATTCGTTGCAGTACCAGTCCGAACTAGCTGTTGCGAATGTTCTGCATGGCACTACTAGGGCGGGAAGAAATATGCCTTCGGCTCAACGCACGGGGTGTTCGGACGACAGGGTCTCCATAACGGGCTGCAGTCATTTTGATTCAGTTCCACGCGGCTGGCGAACCTGATCTCTGTTTTGCATTTTCGCAATAACGAACCCAATCGGAAATGCTTCGCTTGTTCACTGCTGGTGACAATTTGTGAGCCGAACGGCAAGGATGCGAATCGTGTCGATCCTGAGGTCAAAATAAGGGTCGATCAAGTCCGAATGTCATCTGAACCCTGCATAACTTCGGTGGTAAGAAACGCGTCTGAATGAGGCCTCACATACTCGTTAAAAGCTAGTACGGAAGCGCCCTTGCCAAATCCATAATTCGTGAGTACTGTCGCTCACACAGCTTTCCAGTCATTATGGTACCAAAATTATCAGTTACGTGTATGAGATAAGAGCCATGCAAACCATCAGATGTCATTACAGGTCATCAATCTCTTCTGGAGCTGCAGTTGCAGTGGCTTTCCTTGCACGTAGCTCCCTCAGTGCCATCATCAATTCAGTGTCACACACCAAGCGGTCCCGACTTAACCTCTGACGGCAACCTGTAAAAAAGCAAAGAGGATTGATATGTAGCATGAACAATTGATGTGGTATGCACAACAGCCCAATCATACAAGTTGGAAAAATCAAAGGGAGCCACCATTGTGGTTTAGCAAGTTTGATTTGTTCACAGAATTGGATATAGTAGCTAGGAAATCTCACCAGAGACAGGGCAATTGCGGCTTTGGGTCATATTTTCCAATATGGCGCTCTTCTCATACACATGGCGACAATCCAAGCTGAGAAAGGTGGGGTGGTGCAGAAGAAGAGGAGGGAAAAGGGGGGAGTGGAAAATTGGGGATATAGAGCTTTGACATATTGCTTCCTATATGGTGCTCTTCTCATAAACGTGGCCGCAATGATTGGTGAGGAAGAAGAGGAGGGCAGTGGGGGGAATGGGGGGTTGGGGATATAGTGCGTTGGGATGTGATTTTCAATATGGCTCTACACGTGGCCACAATCCGAGCTGAGAAAGGCGGTTGGTGCAGAAGAAAAGGAGGGCAATGGGGGGAGTGGGGTGTTGAGGATATATAGTCTTAACAGATATAATTTCTAAAAATGTGCTCTTGTCATACACATGGCAACAATCCAAGTTAAGGTGAGTGGGGAAGGGGAGGGGAAAGTGTTTTGAAAATGCTCTTCTCATACACATGGCGACAACCCAAGCTGATACTGGGGATGGATGGTAAAGGGAAGCAGGGGAAGTGGGGAAATGGGGGGGTGGGGAAATCATTTTTTTCTCAAATGACTTCCAAATTTGTGCCTTTCTCGTACACATGGCGGCAATCCAAGCTGAGACGGAAGATAGGCTAAGAGGTGCTGAGAAGAAGGGGGAAGAAGGGGGGCGGAGGGGGAGAAAGGGGAAGATAGGGGACGAATGGGGAAAATATATGGGTACATTTTTCTAGATGGCTCTCATCTCGCAAACATGGTGACAATCCAGATCTTACTTGGTTTCAAACAAGGGGAAAGCCGGGGGGAGGGGGGGGGGAGAGAGGGGTACTGAGGAAAGGGGAAGAGAAACTAAGCAGCAAGCGAAAGAACGACCATCAGAAACACCAGGTTATAAGAATTATAAAAAATTATATACGACCATCAGAAGCACCAGGTTCTGAGAGTACTCAAAATGGATGACCATCAGAAGCACCAGCTCTGAACATCAGCAGACAGGATGGCAGAAAGATCCCTCACCAGCAGACAGGGTCATCCAGGTCTTCCACATGGCGCATGGTGATTGGGCAGTTGGGATTCTTTACAATCAAATTGGTAGTCATCATGACTTCATCATCCTCGTCGTCGTCATCCCCCCCTCCTTCTCCTCCCTGCCTCGCACTCTGTGATGAGAAAAAGAGGGGGGGGGGGGGGGGGGGGGGGGTAAGCATGAGGAGGAAGGGGAAAGCGGGGAAGGGGGGGAAGAGAAGAGCAAACAGGAGCTTATGGCACCTTCACCTCTTCATGACTTCCTTATCAATCCCCCCTTCTCATCCCTGCCTCACTCTCAGCAATGAGGAAAGGAGGGGAGCTTAGCATGAGAGGAAACGGGGAAGGGGGAGGAGCAGATACCAGCTCATGTCACCACCATCCTCGTCACTCCACATTCAATGGTACTCCAGGCACGGGCTGTAGCAGCATGCTACAGACCCTGGGACAACAGTATGCCTTGACCCCCACCTTCACCTGTTGCCCTTCCCACCCACCCGGATGGTTTCCCGGAATGCCACCAGAATGTGGTGGCCCTCTAGGAACGGCTGTAGCAAAGTGTGCCACAGAATCTATGGGCTACACCCATCTTCCCCTGCCAGCCTCCATAACAGCTCACAACCAACCCACCTGGATGGTTTCCCGGAACGCCACCAGAATGTGGTGACCCTCTGGAGACGGCTGAGCCGCCCCTAGCTTTGCCACCTGTGCTGCCAAATTCAGCTGCCACCCTCCAGCTACCTCTGACCTTTCAACCTTCTGTCCCTTTCCCACCCACCCAGATGGTTTGTCGGAACGCCACCAGAATATGGTGGTCCTCTGGCCCCCCTACCCTGTCCCCTCCCCTCCGTATACAACACCTGCTCATCATTCTTGACCGCTCACAACCCACCCAAATGGTTTGCCGGAACGCCACCAGAATGTAATGGTTCCCTGGGCATGGGTGAGCCCCCCTGCCCTCTACCCTTCCTATTCATCACCCACCCATCCCTCATTACCGCTCACAACCCACCCGAATGGTTTGCCGGAACGCCACCAGAATGTGGTGGTCCTCTGGGCATGGGTGTGACGCCCCTAGCTGCGCCACCTGCTGCTGCAAGAGCTCCTCGAAGTTGGTGGGCTGTGGGAAGGGAACGGGCGGGGAGAAATGGATAGGGGTGTGGACGGGTGAAGTCGCCCCTAGCTGCGCCACCTGCTGCTGCAAGAGCTCCTCGAAGTTGGTGGGCTGGGGGGATGGGGAGAGGCGGGGAGGGGTGGAGAAGGGTGGGGATGGATGGGGAGGATAAACAGGGGTGGGGAGGGTTTGGTAATGAAGGGGCTTAGGGCGGGAGAGCAGGAGCTGGGACGAGAAAAGGAGTGTCTTGGTGTGGGAATAGAGTAGTGGGGTGCCAAGAAGAGTTGTGACGAGTACATTATTGTTCCAGCAATACCTCAAGAGTCATCAATCTTTAATCCTCGACCTAACAACAAATAGTGCATGTCTATAAAGAGTACATTACTGTTCCAGTGTATTGATAGCTGTCGCCCACTGCCTCCGGCGCTTGCTGATGCAGAGACATCTCATGAGTCATTACTCGTAATGCATAATGAATACAAGACAATGAATAGTGCATGTCTATAAAGAGTACATTACTGTTCCAGTGTATTGATAGCTGTCTCGCACTGCCTCCAAAGCCTGCTGATGCAGAGACATCTCATGGGCTGTCTCCACCACCTTGCGAGTCACTGCCTCTAGCTCCGCCACCTGTGGGTGTGTGTGGCACAAAAGAGGGTGTGACACAAAACGGGGATGTCACACAAACAGGGGTGTGACACAAACGAGAGTGTATTGGTAGCTGTCTCCGACTCAGCCATCTCATGAGCCGTCTCCACCACCTTGCGAGTCATTGCCTCTAGCTCCGCCACCTGCAAGTGTGGCAGTAATTAGGGTGTGGCACAAATACGGGTGTGAATCCAACAGCGGTGTGACACAAACGAGAGTCTCTTTCACAAACTGGTAGCTGCCATTCGCTCCAGCGCCTGCTGGTGGAGGGACATCTTATGCGACCCTTGCGAGTCATTGCTTCTAGCTCCGCCATTTGTGGGTGTGACAGTAACGAGGATTTCACACAGACGAGGGTGTGATAGCGACAAGGGTGGAACACGAACCAGGTGGGACAGGAAACCAAAGGTGCAACACAAACGAAGGTATGAATGATACAGCCAAAGCTCCAATGCAAACAAGAGGAGGGGTGGAGGAGGACAGACAGAAGAGTCAAAAGCAAACCCAACCACCCCCATTGCTCTTCCCCAATGCCAACCTAGTTTTTCCCACTTCAACCCCCCCCCCCTTCACCCTCCACCCTCCCCCATACCCCGACTCCCTGCTCATGCTTCAACCAATTCTACTCTAACCCTCTCCATCTTGCCCTCTTTCGCCATCGCCTCTGCCAGCAGCTTGAGCTGCACGGAGCTGCTCTCTATCTCCTGTGAGTGCAAGGATGCAGTGTGCGCGGAAGCACAAGGGTGCAAGTATGGAGGGAGGGAGGGAGGGAGGGGGAGGGCAGAGATGGAAAGAGGGGGAACGCACGCCTCTGCCAGCAGCTTCAGCTGCACGGAGCTGCTCTCGATCTCCTGTGAGTGCAAGGATGCAAGGAGCATTCAGAGGGGGGGGAGAGCACAAGGGTGAAAGGATGGAGGAAGAAGAGCGAAGAATAGGGGGTAACGCGCATCGCCTCTGCCAGAAGCTTCAGCTGCACGGAGCTGCTAGCAATCGATAAGCATGGAGGGAGGGGTGGAGACGCGTTATGAGATGAATGTGCCTCGAACCAACCAGGATCTACTCATCGCTTTTCGTCATCAATATTCTGCAAGCTGAAATCTGGATGGCGAAAAGCGATGACGGGCATGAATCGCAAGATTGGAAATTGTTGAAAAGGACAACACGACAGACGGCTGAGATTCGCCTACATCAAGCCTGATTCGCCTTTTAGAGAAAAACGGAGACGGGAGGCCGTGAAGGGCAGAAATAGCAGGAGGTAACGACGTCGCGACCTGGACTGTGAAACGAAATCCCCTTACCGCTTGCAGTCTCTTCTCGTCGCCGATCAGGCCGCCAACGGTGCTTGCTATTCTCTGTGTTAGAGCACGCTCCGCCATTCCCGCAACCGTCGCTAATGTAAATCCTAAACAGTTGCCTGTAAGCAATTCTGTCAAGACTGGTGTTTTATGAGCCTACATCGGAAGAGAGCCACTGCGCAGACCAGATATCCTCAAGTGCTAGACGAAAAGACAAGGAGAAACATTCGGAAAGAAGGCTCAATTTTCACGACCAACGCTAGGCTGCAATGTCGAGCTACCGAGGGAAGCTAAGAGCGACGAGCGAGGAGCGAAGAACGAAGAGCAAAGAGCACCTTTAGCTCCAGGTTCCTAGTTTCTGAATCTCCTTTTATGTAAGCCGTCGTCCCGGTGTGGAGAATCTCCACTGGAGATCGACCGGAAATTATGACAACTGCAGATAAAATCGAGGGAACTGTTTTCCGCAATGCGAACCAGTTTCCACGGTGAGGGGGGTTTGCCAAATTCGAGAGGCGAGGCAGAGTCATTCCAACGGCTCTCGCGAAAGTATCCTCGTGGGTGCGAGACCTTTTTGTTCGTTCACAGTTGATTTCGAAAGGTCTAGTCTGGCTGGAAACGGTCTGTAGAGGTGAAGATAACAAATCGTTCTGAACCGTGGTGACCCGTCCTGACTGTGGTCGCTCAAACGCAACTTTGGTGTTTCGCTCACTGTTCGTGTGCACGTTTTTGCACGATTGCTTCGCGCGATGATGGATCTTTGGTAACCCACCCAAGAATACCAGGTTCCCTGTAAGGCCAGAGCAGATTCCTAGATTTCCCATCTTGCAGGGAGACACGAACAGATTCTTTCACAGCACATATTCCATTCAGAAACTCTGTTTTCCCCAGGAGCATTTCCACGCCTGGACACTGCCATTGCAGGCTGGAAACCTGACTACTAACGACCGCGGAGCCTCGTTTCCCGTGTTCACTTGAGCTGCGTCTTTGGATTCACTGCTCAGAATCAATCATATCCCTCGCGGCCTGCATTAGTCCGTCGTCTCGTGGCCGTTTTACCAGACCATTCGACACTCGAATAGTATTCGAGTTGACGCTGAGGTCTTTCCAAAAAAGATCGGTACATTCGGCGTTATGGCGTTGAATTCGCAGCATCTACAGCAGCTCATATCACCCAACCGCCTCCCAGCCGTCGTGTCAGCCCTGGTGCGTGCTGCTGCTCCTTGCGACCAAATGCGTTTTGAGTCGACACAAAACACGTCATCCAATCGAATTCCAGCCGTGTTGTCTGCATGCTGCTGCTTCGCGGTAACCGTGTTGACCAAAAAAACATTCTCCATGAAATTTCGCCTTATTTCGTATCTGTTTCCGGCGCTGAGATTCCTCACCGCAGACGAAGTCAGCCTGCGGTGGCCTTTCTCCGTCCGACTTCGGTCAGACAAAAGTCTGTCCAAGCACTCTCCCTGTCTCTAGTGTGCTCTTGTAACTTCCACTCAATGTGATTCACACAGCCTATTTCGTTCGCTGCATCGCGCCTTTTTTGTGTCACTCTCCCTCCCACCACCCTCCTCTCTCCTTTTCTCTTCTTTCTCCTCTTCTACCCCGAACCCCATTACAGCTTCCGCGCATCCTATCCCACTCGCTCCCCTCCCTCCATCTATCTCCGATGTGATCCTTTCTGGGCTCATGGAAGCTCAATTCTCTCTCTTTTGCTTCTCCCGTACCCCCACTGCAGCTTCCGCGCATCCTATCCCACTCCCTCTCCAGCCTTCACCGTGAACCCCCCTCTTCTACTTCTTTTCACTTCTACTCCCCCTCTTCTGCTTCTCCCAAACCCCACTGCAGCTCCCGAGCTTCCTATCCCACTCCCTCTCCTCCCTCCATCTATCTCTAATGTGACTCTTGCTGGACTCATGAACGCTCAATTTTCTCTCTTTTGCTTCTCCCGAACCCCATTGCAGCTCCCGAGCTTCCTTTCCCACTCCCTCTCCTCCCTCCATCTATCTCGAATGTGACTCTTGCTGGACTCATGAACGCTCAATTTTCTCTCTTTCGCTTCTCCCAAACCCCACTGCAGCTCCCGAGCTTCCTATCCCACTCCCTCTCCTCCCTCCACCGTGACATCCACTCCCCCACCGCTTCATCCTCCTCCCCTCACCTTGCATCCGCCGTCGCACCGTCCACGCCCGCACCGTCACGTCCCTGCTCCTCCCCCGTGCCACCCAGCCCCTCTCCCTCGTCCCATCCGCCTCCACACCGCTCCTCTCATTACAGCAGCATCTCACATACACCTGCTAGCCAAACTTTTTCCAATCGCCTAGGCACCACGGTATACAGCCGAACGCCCCTTCATCAGTCCTTTTCCAATCTCCCTGATAGCACAGTGTATGGTGGGCCGAAGCCCGAAGCAGGGCGGCAGCGGGTGACGTCATTTGAGTCGACTCAAAGGTCTTTCTCCAATCTCCCTGATAGCACGGTGTATGGTGGGCCGAAGCCGGAGGCGGGGCGGCAGCGGGTGACGCTGCAGCAGGTGGGGAGCAAGTACCGGCGGGGCGAGCCTATTGTCATGGTCACGGCCTATGACTACCCCTCAGCTGTGCATGTGGACATGGTGAGGAGCAGGCATGTGGACATGGTGAGAGAGAGAGTTGGGATGTGGAATGATAGGTCAAGTACCGGCATGGCGAGCCTATTGTCATGGTCACGGCCTATGACTACCCCTCTGCTGTGCATGTGGACATGGTGAGGAGCAGGCATGTGGACATGGTGAGAGAGAGAGTTGGGATGTGGAATGATAGGTCAAGTACCGGCATGGCGAGCCTATTGTCATGGTCACGGCCTACGACTACCCCTCTGCTGTGCATGTGGACATGGTGAGGAGCAGGCATGTGGACATGGTGAGAGAGAGAGTTGGGATGTGGAATGATAGGTCAAGTACCGGCATGGCGAGCCTATTGTCATGGTCACGGCCTATGACTACCCCTCAGCTGTGCATGTGGACATGGTGAGTGGTTGGCTGGTGGGCTGGTTGGCTGGTTGGCTGGTTGGCTGGTTGGCGTGTGGACTTGGTGGAAGATGTGGGACGTGGAACGATGGATAAAGTACCGGCGAGGAGAGCCCATTGTCATGGTCACGGCCTATGACTACCCCTCCGCTGTGCACGTGGGCTTGGTGAGTGGTTGGGCTGGAGATAGATATAAGGCTGTTGAAGCAAGTATGCCAAAACAACCAAGTCCATTGTCATGGTGGTCACGGCGATTCAGCAGCCTCGCTGTCCTCCTCCTCCAAGTCCATTGTCCTCCTTCTCTCTGGGTTCAGGGTTTATTCACATGATAATTTAGTGTTTTTGAGACGTCTGAAAAAATCAGCAGCTGCGGTGTCCTCCTTCTCTCTGGGTTCAGGGTTTATTGCCCTCCCACGTTTCTGTACCCTCCTGCTTCTTCCCCCCCTTCCCTCTGTGTCCCTGGAACCCAAATCCCAGGCGGACATAGACATCTGCCTGGTGGGCGATTCAGCTGCCACGGTGGTGAGCATTGAGCACGCAGCGCACCTTCATCCCCAGCTGCTCTCCTTTCCCCACTACAGCTTCTTCCCGTCCTCCCTCCCTCCCCTCTTCCCCTCTCCACCTTTCCCCCTTCCAACAGGCGGACATAGACATCTGCCTGGTGGGTGACTCAGCAGCCATGGTGGTGCGCACTGCTCCGTCATCCCCAGCTGTTCTCCTTTCCCCACTACTGCGTCTTCCCTCCTCTCTTCAACTCTCCCCTTTCCGCAGGCGGACATAGACATCTGCCTGGTGGGCGACTCAGCAGCCATGGTGGTGCATGGGTATGACACCACTCTACCCATCACCCTGGACGACATGCTGCTGCACTGCAGGTGATTATATATTTGTGTTACTGTAACGAGTGTCATTACATAGTATAATGTAGCCATGGTGGTGCATGGGTATGAATGACACCACCCTGCCAATCACGCTCGAGGACATGCTGCTGCACTGCAGGTGAATTAGTGCACTTATGTGACTCTAACGAGTAATGCAGCCATGGTGGTGCATGGGTATGACCCCAACCTGCCCATCACACTCGACGACATGACGCTGCACTGCAGGTGATTATTCTGCGGATGACTACACAGCGGGGTTATTGTATGCATGTACGTGACTGTTGTGAGAGTGATTGTATTGAGGAGTATGCAGCCATTTTGGCGCATGGCTTCGACACCACTCTGCCCATCACACTAGACGACGTGCTGTTGCACTTATGCCCTTCCTTGCCAACCCTTGCTCCCCTCCCATGCCAATCCAGGGCGGTGGCACGGGGAGCCTCTCGGCCGTTGCTGGTGGGTGACCTTCCATTCGGCACGTACGAGCAGAGCCCACAGCAGGTGAGTGCTAGTGCAGCAGGTGACCAGATTACTTTCTAGTATTCACTATAGTGGCGGTGGCACGGGGAGCCTTTCGGCCGTTGCAGGTGTGTAGATTCGCGCACAGCTCCTCCCATTGTACCTCGGGGGTGTGACGGAGGGAGCATCGCGGCCGTTGCTGGTGGGCAGCGTTCCTTTCGGCACGTACGAGCAGAGCCCACAGCAGGTGAGCAGAGTCTGTAGCATGTGAGAGGTACGCGCACAGCTCCTCCCGTTTCAACCAGGGAAAGATGAACCCTGTGAAAAGAGAAGGGGGCATTCATTCACTCACAGTGAGCCTCTCTGTCCCCCACCCTCTCCTTTGATCCATTCACAGGCAGTAGAAAGTGCAGTGCGGCTGTAGAAGGAGGGCAGGGCAGCATGGACGCAGTCAAGATGGAGAGGGACGTACCAGCGGCAGATCAGTTTATTTGGTCCCCCCTCCCCCTATTTGAACCATTCACAGGCAGTGCAGAGTGCAGTACGGCTGCAGAAGGAGGGCCACATGGACGCATAGAGGGGGACATATCAGCGCGGGTGGCAGCAGCACAACCAATGCTCTCCTCGTTCTCCCCCTTCCCTGCTCAATGCATTCACAGGCAGTGAACAGTGAACAGTGCAGTGCGGCTGTTGGAAGGAAGTGGAAGAAAGTAACATGGACGCAGTGAAGATAGAGGGGGGCATACCAGCGCAGGCGGCATTCAGCGTATGTTCTCTTTTCTCCCCCCCCCACACCTCCCTCTCTCTTGAATACATTCTCAGGCAGTGAACAGTGCAGTGCGGCTGCTAAAAGAAGGCAACATGGACGCAGTGAAGATAGAGGGGGGCATACCCGCACGGGTGGCGGCAGCGCGGGCGGTATCTGAGGCGGGTATAGCTGTGATGGGCCACGTGGGGCTCACTCCGCAGGCCATCAGCTCACTGGGAGGCTTCCGCCCCCAGGGCAGATCCGCTGCCAGTGCGCTCAAGGTGGGTGGAGGTGGGAACTGAGGGAGTCTGGGCAGCAGCAGCAGCGCGGGCGGTATCTGAGGCGGGTATAGCTGTGATGGGCCATGTGGGGCTGTGATGGGTGGGAACTGCACTGCAGGTGTGGGTGGTGGGTGTCAGGCCCTGCATGAAGCTGGGTGCTTCGCAGTGGTTCTTGAGTGCATACCAGCAGTGGTGGCAGCAGGCGGCTGACTTGCTCAGTCCTCACACTCGCTCTGCCACTCTCCTTTCCCCTCTCTCGCAGGTCGTTCAACATGCACAGGCCCTGCAAGAATCAGGGTGCTTTGCAGTGGTGCTGGAGTGCATGCCAGCAGTGGCGTTTGACTCAATTCAGCCTTACAGAATTGCTCTTTCCCACTCCCTCAGGTGGTTCAGCACGCACAAGCATTGCAGGAGGCAGGCTGCTTTGCAGTGGTTCTGGAGTGCATGCCAGCAGTGGTAGCAGCGGCAGTCACAGCCGCTGTCGACATTCCCACCATCGGCATTGGAGCAGGGCCGCTTTGCAGTGGGCAGGTGAGGATAGGTGGGGTAAGGGGGGCTGGAGAGGTGAAGGGTTGAGATAAGAGGGTAAGGGGGGTGGAGAAATGAAGGGGTGAGAAAAGGGGGTTGTTGAGGGTGTGGAGGTGTGAAGGGGTGAGAAAAGGGGGTTGTGGAGGGTGTGGAGAGGTGAAGGGGTGAGAAAAGGGGGTTGTGGAGGGTGTGGAGAGGTGGAGGGTGAGGCAGTGCCAGGCTGCCTTGGAGTGCTTGCCAGCAGTGGTGGCAGCGGCTGTCACAGTTGCTGTTGCATTGACCACCACAGGCACTGGTAAAACTGTCTTGGCAGACAGCCGCTCGTCATGTTGCCGCTGGGGGATGGTTGTTCACTAATGGGCAAGTGACGGAAATTGAGCAGTGCGTGCGACTCAGTACCATCTTGCTGAGTGCACTGCTTCGTTATCCTCACCTGATTTCGAGCAGAGCATGCTTTGCTGCCAGCACAGCTGCTGTCGACATCCCTCGTGTTGTACGCGCTTTTCTGTGCTTCTCAAGAAATGCTTTTTATCTTAGCCCCACACCCTCTCGCAACTCCCATGCCTGCCTCAACCATGCCTGCCTCAACCATGCATGCCTCACCCATGCTTGGCTCACCCATGCTTGGCTCACCCATGCTTGCCTCAACCTCCCTCGTATGCCCCCATGGCTTTCCCTCAACTCATCCAGGTGCTAGTATACCATGACCTTCTGGGGATGATTCAACATCCACACCACGCCAAGGTATATGTTTTGACACCCATATCTTCCTGAGTGTCCAAGTATTGTGCAAACTTTTGTGCTGATGATATCCTCTGCTGTAATGCCAAAGCTGGTGGCAGATTGTTCAATTTGTTATCATGATTGTGTTCAGAAATGAGTAAAGATCGTATCCAGCCCAACCCATGCCTGCCCAGGGCATCAAAATGGTCTTAAATATGACCCTCCCTATTTCATCGTAAGTTGGTTATATTGTGTTACTATCCTGATTCCTGAGCAGGTAACCCCAAAGTTCTGCAAGGCATTCGGCCAAGTGGGCGAGGCCATTCAACAGGCGCTGAACACTTTTAGAGAGGATGTGACCTCTCGTGCATTCCCGTCCGCGCATTATTCTCCCTATAAGATTGATGCCGCTCAAGTGGAGTCTTTTACTCAGTTGCTCAAGGCCCATGGGCTGACCAGCTCAGCTGAAGCTGCAGAGGCTGCTGTAGAAAATGCAGCAGCTGAAGCTGATGCACTGTCTAAGAATGTGTAGATGATGCCTTATTGCCTGGCCATGTTCCTTACGTACGAGCGCATCTTTTACAAGTGTTACTTATCTCATCATGTTTTTTCTCATACCCCTTCATTGATTCTAATCTCGCCATGTTTGTAATCACATCGTTTTGTTAAATCTACAGTGTCGAATGCTCCCTGTTTTTGTTATCATCTCAAATCTACAAGCACACCTGTTTCCATGTTTTTATTTTCACCGTCTGCTAACGAGCCTTTCTGTAAGAACTTTTTTAAAACAAGAAACTTTCCCCGCACGTAGGTTGTTCCTTATTACGAAGGGCGCAAGCATTACTGATTGGGCGCCTGATTGCCACGCGTCTCCATCTCTGTCGACGCGCGTCTCAAACCTTTTGTAATCCCGCACCTTGAATCGCGCACGCACTATGGATGTGATTAATTCAACCTCAATCGTCTCATGAAGTCAGCTAGTCCGCATGGTAACAGTGGCCCCTGCCAATTTGCATGCCTACACTGCGATTATTTGCTTTCATGTTCCCTCCCCTGACGCGTAAGCCGAGTGCAGCCCCCAACAACTTCCTTGTTCGCTTATTTTGTTCCTACTCTGCAAGCTTGTCGCCCATTTTGTTTCGTTTCTCCTCGCTAATAGACCAAGCCTATCCTTATCTTACCGCTCTGCGATATATCCCTCGATACTGCTAAAATAGTTTGTCGTGGTGGGTTGTGTCCCTTACATCGCAAAACAATATACGCTAATTTCCCCATTGTACAATCCCGAATCGTTATAAGCATGGCGAGGTCGAAGCAGCGCATGCCCAAGCGGAGCAGGGCAACCGCCGCAGCGGCGGCGGCGGCAGAGGCGGCGGCGGCAGAGGCGACGTCGATGCCGGCTAAAGCCACTCCAAAAAAAACGGCCAGAGCTCCCGAAGGTAAGCGCCTCTTTGTGTTGCTTCAAATGGCGGCGGCGGTGGCTGCTGCACAAGGCACCGAAAAAAAACGGCCAGAGCGGTTCCGCTCGAAGGTAAGCACGTCGTAGTATGGATGATTTGTTCAAGGCGTCTCGCCCGAAGGTAAGCTGTTCAAGGCGCTCCGGGAGGAGGTTCCGCACGAAGGTAAGCTGTTCAAGGCGCTCTGGGCGGAACGGCCAGAGCGGTTCCGTCCGAAGGTAAGCACGTCGTGGTATGGATGATTTGTTCAAAGCGTCTCGCCCGAAGGTAAGCAGTTCAAGGTGCTCTGGGCGGAACGGCCAGAGCGGTTTCGGCCGAAGGTAAGCGTCTCCAGGCGGAAAACACTGGGACGTTGTTCCCCGAGGAGAAAAACGGCCAGAGCGGTTCCGCCCGAAGGTAAGCGCCGATGGGTTGTCCTCAAGCGCCGGTAAGCCGCCGCCGGCAGCGGCTGTGGCGGTCTGCGCAAGGCGATCCGGACAGCACCGGCGTAGCGGTTCCGTCCGAGGGTGAGTGTCTTGTGGGGCACCTCAATTATTAGCGGTAGCGGATGCTCAACGCACGACTGAGGGGCCGCAACTACAGCTGTTGAGGCCTAACATCCAAGGGTGAGTGGCTCGTGGGGCGCCTCAAATATCGGCGTTGGTGGCAAGGCTGAACTTGAATTGCTTACTCTGTCCTGGTTCCGTTTTCGTCTTAGATGACTTTTGAGACTCAAAAGTCGCATTGTGGGCCGCCTCCAAAATCTGAATCGCTCATTTCCAAAATCCACCCCCCCGTTTTTCTCGTTTTCTCTTAGGGATTAAGCAACGCAAGCCGCACCGCTACCGGCCGGGAACAGTGGCACTAATGGAGATTAGGAGGTACCAGAAGACCACGGACCTCCTCCTTCGCAAGCTTCCCTTCATGCGCCTTGTAAGTTTCGTGTATGCGACTCGTGAGTTTCAATGCTTTGAGTCAACTCGTGAGTTTCAATGTTGTGAGTCGACTCAAAACACGAGATTAGGAGGTACCAGAAGACCACGGACCTGCTAATTCGCAAGCTGCCGTTCATGCGCCTCGTAAGTTTCAACACTTTCAAACTCATGCAAGCTATATCGGTGTTACTTTCAAAAAAAGTAATTTGGTAAGTTTCAATATTTTTAAAGTTCATTCCCAAACCCGTGCAAATGGGTAAATTTTGAGTCGATTAGAATCTAAGTTCCAAACTCGTGCAAGTAGGTTGTCCCTAGCCATCCTTAAACCCCCTGGTATTGTTTCTGTGCTGCTTCCCCTTCCCCCCTCTCTCACCTCCCTCTTTTTTCCCGCCATCATCCTTCCCAAACACCCCTCTCCTTTCCCGGGCAGTACCAGTTTTTTAAGTTAGAACAGCCATGGTCAGTAAAACAAAAAAGGATGGTTGCATACACTGGACATCACAGAAGAATGGGCACAGAAATCTGAGAGAGAGAAGAAAAGGACCAAGAGGCATTGAACCCGAATTAAGCTCAGATTGGTTGGGTTGTGCTACTGGTCCTCTATTTATAATATCCCAACTGGTATCGTGATATAATGCATTTATTTCATGCCTGTGAATATCAGATGCCCTCAACAGTGTCCAGGCCCCCCATTTTCGTCCCTTTCCCCTCCCTTGGTTCGCACCAGTGCAAGAGGATCGCTCAAACCCTCACCACACGGGATGTGAGATGGACTAATCCTCCTAGCCCCTTCTCCCACTCTCCACCAACCTCGTGATAAAAGTGATGTTTTGAGACGTCTCAAAACTCACCACACGGGATGTGAGATGGACTGTCCTCCCCGCCCCTTCTCCCACTCTCCACCAATCCCCCCCGCCTCTCTTGCCTACCCGCCCCTTCTTTCCTCCGTCTCTCCTCTTCTCCCCACCGTCGTCAGCGGAAGGAGATTGCTCAGACGCTCACCACGCAAGATGTGAGATGGATAACCCACCCTGCTGCCCCTTCTCCGCTCTATTCCACCCAACACCACCCCATCCACCCCCATTCTCCTCCCTCTCCCCACTCTCCCCCCTATACCGTCTGCAGTGCAAGGAGATAGCTCAGACGCTCGCCACGCAAGATGTGCAAGGGACTGCTGACCCTGCTCCTTCGCCCCCACTCCTTCCCCCAACACCACCCCATTCCCTCCCCTCCCCCCCCGCCCCGTCTTCTCTCCGTCTGCAGTGCCAGGAGATCTCTCAGACTCTTTCTCTCACCACCATGGATGTGAGATGGACTGCTGACCGCGCCACCCGTTCCCCCTCTATCTACAACCCAACACCACCCCATCCCCCTCCCCACTCCCCCCCATACTGCCACCAGTGCCAGGAAATCTCTCAGACCATCACCACGATGGACGTGCGATGGACTGGTGCTGATGCTGTTCCTTCGGCCCCTCTCTGCCCTCTCACCCACCCTATTCCCTTCCCCCCCCCCCTCTCTTCTCCCCACCGTCTGCAGTGCAAGGAGATATCTCAGACGATCACCACAATGGACGTGCGATGGACTGCTACCGCCGTGCTGGGGCTGCAAGAGGTGCGAAGGGGTGGTAGGGGTTGCGGTGGTAGAGAGTGCGGTGGTTGTGGGCGAACAAGGGCTATCAAAGACATCTCAGACGCTCACCACACAGGATGTGCGACAGAGTGCTGACGCCGTGCTCAGTCTGCAAGAGGTGGGAAGGGGTGGTAGGGAGTGCAGTAATTTGGGGTGTGGTGGCAGGGAGCGCGGTGGTTTGAGTTGTGGTGGCGTTGAGTGCGGTGATGTGGGGTAAACAAGGGCTATGAGGGATCGCTTAGACGCTCACCTCGCTGGACGTGCGATGGAATGCTGACGCCGTTCTTGAGCTACAGGATGTATGTTCATCGATAATAGGGTGTACGGAGGTGTGAAGTGGTAGGGAGTGCGGTGGTAGGGAGTGCGGTGTCTCGTCAGCTTATATTTGAAGGATGAGATCTGCTCTGCTCACCCTGCCCCCCACATTCCGCTCTATCCTCTCCTCTCTCCTACCCCCCCCCCCAAATCAGGCAGCAGAGGCCTATCTCGTGAACTTGTTGGAAGACGGACTTCTGCTCGCCAGTCACTCACCTTGCCTCCAATGCCACCCTTCCGCCCACTCCATGCCTTATATTCCCCACTTGTTTCCCTCCACCATCAGGCAGCAGAGGCCTATCTCGTGAACTTGTTTGAAGACGGATTGCTGCTCGCCATACACTCCAAGAGAGTCACTTTAAGTAAGCATCTTCGTTCTCACTGCAAAGCAAGGTATTCTTTTCTTTTGTGTGTGTGTGTGTGGTGTGTGTGTGTGTGTGTGTGTGTGTGTGTGTGTGTGTAACAACATACACTTCACCGCTTGTAAGCTCTCTTTCTTTCTGTCCCGTTCCTCCTTCCCCCCCCCCCCCCCCCCCCCCCCCCCCCCCCTCCCTCTCTCCAACCATCCCCCCTACCCCTCCTTCCTTCCCTCCCCCATCCTCTTTCCCCTCCTTCCTTCCCTCCCCCATCCTCTTTCCCCTCCCCTCCCCCACGCCCCACACGTGTGGTGCCAGTGATTCGGGATATCCAACTGACTCGACGAATTAAGGGAGGGAATAACCCCTTGTACCCTGCTTAACATTAATCTGTCTCACCTCCCCCCTCCCCACATGTGTAGTGCCAGACCCCCTCTACTCTGCTTGACATTGATCTGTCTCCCCTGTCCCCCACCCCCCACATGTGTGGTGCCAGTGATTCGAGACATCCAACTGGCTCGGCGAATCAAAGGAGGGAAAAACCCCTTGTACCCTGCTTAACATCAATCTGCTGACCTTCTAGTCTCCGTTCATGAAAACATCACTGGCACAGAAATCCCAGCCGCTCTGCCGAACACCCTTTTTGACCCCCAGTTTAGGCAGTTTCGGCTGCTTATAATGTATAGCCAACCTGTCGCTTATCCAAGCAAAGCAAGTGTGCCTTTCTCTTAACGTATTTTGTTACCCTTTTTGTGTCGTAGTACGGTAACTCTGGAGATAAATTGCAGCTGGTAACCATGATAGATCCACTTGCAAGTCTTGAAGCATCATTGCCATTTGGATGATAATGGAAGTACTTTTGCTGGGAACACTAGGTTACCTGTCATAGAAGGGCTTCGAAAACAATTCTCTGAAAATGTTTAAGATTGAATTACCGTAGGTTGGCAAAGGTTGGCTGTACTTTGAAAAACAACACATGACTTCCTTGCACAGCACAGTATTTACGTGATTCACCAGCTTATAATATTTGTCAGGCGGTTTTTGAGACGTACAAAAACTCGATTCACGTACTACCATATGACTCGAATATCAAATCTACGGTACAGGCTATGACAAGTGTTCAATAGCCTCCTGTACTGTATCAATATGTCGCACCAGCTTATCCCATTGGTCAGGAGGGAGACTAATGCCTGCAAGCACGATGCGGAAAAACAGGAAGGAAACATGACACCAGAAATTATGACACTAGAAATTATGACACTAAAAAATTATAACAGTGTGAAAAGTGTTAACAACTTCTTGTACAGCATCTATGTGCCTCACCACCTTCCCTTTGGTCATCAGGAAGACTTACGCCTGCAAGCAAGACAAGTAGAATCGAGAAAGAGCCATCACAATGTGTTCCAGGAGGGAGAGACCTGGTGAGGAGGCTAGGGGGCGAGGGAGTGACTTGGTGAGTGGTGAAGTGGCGAGAAAAGCCATGACTGGTCTAAAACTCAAGAAAGATTGTAATGGACGCACACACCTTACACACCTTTCAAGGGCTCCAAAAGTGGAGGTTCTGTCAATGAAGCAAGGAGTACCGCGAAATCAATGTACCTACCTTTAGAGGAAGGCATGTCCTTGCCGCCTTTGTCATAGTACTCGCGTATCGACACCAGCAAGCGAGCACCCCTTGAACTTATTCACTCGTTCAAAGGGGGCAGAGGGTCGGAGGGGGTTAGGAATGGTGCACGCACCTTTAGAGGAGGGCATCTCCTTGCTGCCTTTGTCATAGTACTCGCGTATCGACACCAGCAAACGCCCCTTGAACTCACTCACTTGTTCGAGGGGTCGGAGAGGGTTGGAGAGGGTGAGAGGGATAAGCTACTAACCTTTAGAGGAAGGCATCTCCTTGCCGCCTTTGTCATAGTACTCGCGTATCGACACCAGCAAACGCCCCTTGAACTCACTCACTTGTTCGAGGGGTCGGAGAGGGTTGGAGAGGGTGAGAGGGATAAGCTACTAACCTTTAGAGGATGGCATCTCCTTGCCGCCTTTGTCATAGTACTCGCGTATCGACACCAGCAAGCGCCCCTTGAACTCGCCCACTGTTAGCTTCCGCTTCCCAGACAGCTGTGCATCAATGATACATGAAAGGGCAGTGAGGGAAGGAAGGCAGGATAGATTTGGGATGACTTTTGTGTTTCAGTCAGCTCAACACCCTTGCAAGCGCCCCTCGAACTCACCCACTGCTAGCTTCCACTTCCCTGACAACTGTGCAGAAATTGTTTTGTAAAGGGGGATGAGGAAAGGCAGGGTTGAGTAGAAAATCACCTCTGCAGGTCACTATGGCTGCATGGGCAGAAGTACGTACATCCGAAACATAAAACTGCACAGTGTATGAAAAACCCTCATGAGTCGACTGCATGGCACATGAACACCCGACGACTCAACATTTTTATCACAACACCATTAACCACCGGTTCTCATTATAAATAAATGGGACATCCTAATATTTTTGGGACGATGGCTGCATGCATAAACCATGAAAATCCTGCTATGGCTGCAGGGGCGGAATGGGACAGGTTCGGGTGCAAGGTCGGGGCGGCTAGGGTCGGCGGAGGGGTTCAGGTGGCTATGGAGAGGTGAAAGGGGGTGGCAGTAGAGAGATTCCCTGAGAGACCGGTGGATAAGGTGAGAGGACAGGTGGTGGTATGGTTGCTGCGACGCACGCAAGGTGGACTGCCTTGAGAGAGCAAGATTTACTTGACAATTTTCTCTCACCCCTGTCAACCTTCTCTCACTGTCAATCAACCGTATGTCACTTATGTCAACCGCATCGAACACTTGTCTTACCTCGCAGATCACAAGCTCCCCGCCATCACCCACTTTCCACTTTTCACCCCTTTCCAATGGCCTTTACTGTGTCAACCGTATATTAAAAGTCTCAATTTCACCTCCCTACTCAATCTCACCTCGCAAATCACAAGCTCTCCGCCGTCACCCACTTTCCACTTCTTCCCTCCTTTCCGTGACTTCCCCCTCCCTTTCTCCTCTTCCTCCTCCTCCTCATCCTCCTCCTCCTCCTCTTTCTCACTCCCGCTTTCCTCGTCCGATCCCTTTCTCCGCTTTTTCCGCTTTTTCGCTATTGGATCCTCCGCTTCCTCCTCCACGAAGGCTTTAACTATCTTGTGAATGAGTTTCTTGTTCGCATCTGCTGACGTGTCAATCCCCGTCTTTTCGCGCGCTAACTGACGGACTTTTTTCTCAGTCAATTCTTCCAGGTCGCCGGCTTCTAGAATCGCCGTGACAGCCTCGCGCAAACGACTCTCGTCAGACGACATGACGGCGAGAGATTCTCGTGATTCTGAAAACGAATTTCTCGCGCAGTGAACAGGAGGCTACTAGCAGACGAGCTGGTCAAGCCTTGACAGCAATCTATTGCATACAATCCACAACTGAATGGAAAATCGAACTGTCTTGCTGAGCTAACCCGTGAAGGTAACCAAGGAGAAGCAGCAGCGATAAGTGCGACCTCCTGTGCCAGATTCACATCTCGTCTGCTTGCCGCGTGACCGTGAATCACGCAAGCCACGGCGCTGGGGAGTGAGACCCATCCCACTTCTTCATTCATTGCTGAACTCGCGGTTCAGTACATTACATCACGGTTAAGAACGATATTGTTCTTACCGCTTGGAACCGATGCACACCAAAACCAACCATGAGCATCAATTGTTCGGGAAGGGAGCAAGTGCCGTGAGGGCCCATTCCTGCTAGCTTTGGGAGTCGGTGCTGTACCTCAGTTCGTAAATGGTCCAGAAGTGGTGGAGAGTTGTTATGCAAAATGATGGCTGGTAAACGGATATTTCTGTTTGAGACTCGGTCTTTTTTGTTTCGGTTTGTTGACCACTTCGTTCCAGGTAGCCCGAATTTCACGTGAGCCAGGTTGTCCTTCTCGCATATTCGTTCGTTAAAATCGTCAACCGAACCTCTCTTTTTCGGGAAATGCAGGACACGTCCCCAACTATTCTGCTCAACCTCAGGACAAGTCCATTTTCACTCACTGGGAGGTTTGAAACACCTGAACATCTTTAGTTCACCCATTTCTGTTTCCGTGAACTTCGCCGCGTGTTTTGCCGCAGGACACTTCGCAAGGCGTCATAGCTCCGGGCTTTGCGAAGCGCGTGGTTGTGTGCGTCAGACGCGGTCGGGGCGGATCCTATGTGTTCCTGAACGGCACAATCCTTTCCACATTACTCATCTTAAATCCCTCAATCCATACCCCTTCTTCTCATTCCGCCAACTCGTTTAATTTCGCCAAGGCTTCTCAATACCTTCGCCACTTCCTCTCCGCCAAATCGCCTCGTTTCGCTAAGTTCTCACGTTCCGATTACTCAAGGGTTCGCGTAGGCCGTTTTTGGAGGATTTTCAGAACGATTGGCGTAACCAACCCACCCCATACGTTAGCGGCTAATAAGCTTGCGTCAACTTACAAGTCTCTTTATTTGACTATTCAAAAGCAGTAATTGAAAAGTACAGCTTGTCAGGCGCCGATGGCATAGCAGTCATCGACATCCATGATCGCCGCACGGTAGTCCATGTCAGCGTCCACGTCGGCAGTACTTATCCACCAGAATCCACATTGGTCTGATGACGTGGCGCGCGCTACTGCGAGAAGCGTGGGACAGAGCGGCTTTAATGACCCAATTCGCGTGCTGCTACCATGTGTTCACGAACTACGTCATGGATGTTACCATGGTACGTGATGACGTCACTATGGCTCATGGTTTGTCACCATGGCATGCGATCACCCAATATTGCGTGCTGCTACCATGTGTACAGTAACTACGTCATGGTTGTCATCATGGTACGTCATGACGTCACTCGGGTAAGTGGTTCGTTGACACCTCATTTTCTCTCCTCTTCTTTTTCCATATTCAACTCCTCCCCTCCTCCCCCCCTCCCCCCCTCCTCCCCCAGTGAATGGGTCCCAGTATGCTCCCCACATTGAACGCAGCAGGGGACATGGTGCTACTAGAGCACATCATGCCCGCCCTTGTTTACCCATGTACCCCCCACCCCCTTCTCCACCCTTCCCTCCCCTTTCAGTGCATGGGTCCCAGCATGCTCCCTACTCTCAATGCAGCAGGCGACGTAGTCTTACTAGAGCACATCACGCCTGCCCTGCACGCCTTAAAGCCCGGCGACATTGTCGTCGCCAAGTCCCCTTCCAACCCGCGCATGGTGGTGTGCAAGCGGATCGTTGCCATGGAGGGCCACGAGGTGCATGCCATGCCGCCAACAGCAGCAACCAGAGGGGTGATGTTTGGCGGACGCGGCAGGCAAAGCGAGACTCATACTGTGGTGAGGAGTAGAGGTGCTATTGTGCTGAATACACCTAGTTGCCAAGTCTCCCCCTCTAACCCGCGCATGAGGGTGTGCAAGCGTGTGGTGGCTATGGAGGGCCACGAGGTGCACGCCATGTCTCCTCCACCCAGAGGGATGGTGATTGGCGGACGAAGCAAGCACACAGAAACACTCACTGTGGTGAGTACAGCCGTAGTGGTGAGTGAGTGGTGATTCACTCCTGTAGTCGCCAAGTCTTTTCCCTCCAACCCACGCATGATGGTGTGGAAGCGCGGGGTGGCGATGGAGGGGCATGAGGTACCTCAAAAATACGATATCTGAGGTGGTTCAATTGACGTATATAGTGGCGAGCGAGTATGACAGTGGGTTCTTTGACTCCTGTTGCTCCCTCGTGCTTGCACATTGTGGCATGTTCCCTGCAACTTCGATGCACTTTCCCTGCACCTTTCCTACACTTTCCCTGTCACGTTCGCTGCACCAGCCACCACCCTTCTCCTGTTCTGCCAGCACCAGCTCCCTCTTGTTCCACCTACCAACTTCCCTCCACCGCACTGCACTCCACTCCAACCCATCAGGTCCCACGAGGCCACGTATGGTTGCAGGGAGACAATCTCTTCAACTCCACCGACTCTCGCCACTACGGCCCGGTGCCGCTGGCGTTAGTCAAAGGCAGGGTCTTCTACAGAGTGAGTGAGCGGGAGTGAATGAGGGGGAGCAGAGGATAGAGAGAAAGTTTTTTTTTTTTGAGAATTCTCAAAAAACATACGCTGCATAAAAGGGATGTCATGTGTGGTTGCAAGGAGGCAATCTTCTCAACTTCCATGACCCGCGGCTCTACGGCCCTATGCCCCTTGCCCTGGTCAGGGGAAGGGTGTTCCACAGAGTGAGTGAGGGGGAGAGGGGGATGGGGGGGGGGGGGGGGGGAGTGGGTAGTGTGGTGTTATGCAATGAGTTGATGGCCGAGTGAGTGAAGGACAAGTTGGAGCAGTGGGCACTGGGTACATAGATGTTATGTTACACACCATGGCATACATTTTACAGCTCAAAATCCATTTTTTTTTATGAACCTGAGTCTATTTCCCCGAATCAATCAGCTGCTATGTTTTCTTTCAATCTCCCCACCTCCACCACCTTTCCCCCCCCCTCTTCCCTTCCTGCTCCCAGGTATGGCCTCCCAGGGATTGTGGCCCAGTGCGATGAATTTCTTCATCCGTAGAGTCATGTTGTCGACACCAGCTCCAGCTCTGCCTAATTTCACAATGGCTCTGAGGAAAGTTCCAAGCTACTAATTTTGTACCATGTTTTGTGATGGAACCTCTTGTGTGTTTGGCAATACCTACACCTCGCTCTTTGCAAACCTGTAAATATCGTACCATGATTACTTGAGCACCCAAGATAGAGACTAGGTCACCATGACCATTTGTAGTGCAGTAGGAAAATAAAAGCATCAGGAACATCAACTACACGACCTACCAAACATGAGCACGGAACATAAATGTCCTAGAAACCTATACGGTAATATAGATCCAGCCCAGTGTACGATACAGCCCACCACATCAGTCCCACCGAGTCAGCTCTTTACGGGAACTCCTGCACGGGCATCACCTTCCTCGCACGACCATACGCGGTATAAGCGCAGTCCACAGCAAGCACATCGCTCGCCTCGTACGACCGGGGTGTCCCATCAAGGAACCCCTGCCCTTCCGCACTATCGGCGGAGATCGGACGGTGCAGGTTCGCGACGAGGCGCTGGAAATCCGCGGCGCGGGCAGCGTGATCCGCGCGGTACGTCTGTCCGAGCACTCCGTGAATCTCCTCCGTATGCTCGAGCTCGGCAATCCCGACGTTAATGTGCGCCTCGGCATCCGTGGGGGTCTGCAGCTTGGGGTGCGCGACGCGCAGGCGCAGGTCGAGGGTAATTAACCCTGCGATGGACAGCATATAATAATCCACATCGAACGGGCCCTCCTTCTCTAACCCGCGGAATTCGATCGTCAATCCGCCGGCGCTGGTAGCCCTATCGCCGACCTGCATGCGCGGAATCTCCTCGCCGTCAATCTCGATGCTCTTCACGAAGCCGTCGCCGCGCTCCTGCTGCTTGCCGCCGCGCGCCGCGATCAGGAACTTACGATCCACACCACCCGCAGTCCACACAATGCCCAGCTCTTTAATCCACGTGTGTACGGCCTTCCCGTCAACAACAAGCGCCGCGTTATCGGTGTTCTCGTCGTAATAACCCCTCAGCAGCATGTTCACGTGAAGATTCCTGTCGGTGAGCAGGCAAAATGCCTTGTCGGGCCGGCCGTTGAAGTCGAAATGCGTGCCTTGCGCGCCGACCAAATGCGGGTCGTTCAGAATTTTCGCGCTAGGGTTGCATTCGCCGCCGATGCGCACCTGGAGATGCACGGGCTTCGTTTCCGTACTGTACTGCGCGGTCATTTCTCCGCAAGTGAAATCAATCTGGTCGTGAATCAAATAGCACGCGCCTTTCCCCTTCTTCCCGTCGATGGTTATATCGGGGATGTACTGCCAGTACGTGCAGAGCGGCGTCGCGGCGCAGGTGTTGCAGCACGACGCGGGATTCGCCTTGAGCAGCGTCAGCGGGTTACCAGGTACGTACAATTCGTAACCGAGCTTGTTCTTCTGTAGATATGCGGTTTTCCACTTGGCCGCAATTCCGCCCTTGGAGCAATTTTTCGGAGAGCAGGCGCCCGCAAGCTCCTTGTTCAAACCCGGCGGGCATTTCTGCGCGTTCCATCCTGCCTTCTTCACGTTAGCCATGAAAAACGAATCCTGCGCGGTATCTACGTATGTTACACCCGCCGCGTTACCCGACGCAGCCTGTTTCGCGATGTCTTGCGGGATGTCGGTCATGAGCCCGTCGTCTTTCTTTCCGCTCGGGTCGGGTTTCTCATTCGCGGAGGAGCTCGTGAGGGGACTCCCTGCGTGCGCGAAGACGACGAGCAGCGCAAGGGAGAGCGCTAGAAGCGCTGATCGAGCCATTCTGACAAGCTGACTACTAATGAGGGCGAGTTGGAAGAGGTGAAGTGAAAATTCTATTGCGATGAGAAGCTGTTCCGATTCTACTGCTTCGATTGCGTTTCTTCGGAACTCGATATGTTAGCATTCCATTCCGAAACACATTTATGATGCAATGCTCAGACATTCCTCCACTGCGATTGGTGGAATGACGTCCCAAGAAGCTAGGTTGATGCGGCGCGGAAGCTGAAACAGGCTGCATGCATATGTCTCGAGTCACGCACAATTCGAGCCGCAGGTGTCGCAGACATTTTGGGCCAAACGCGTGCTTGGTGATTTCAACCTGAGTTGTGACCTGGTTCCCAATTGGAGGCGCAGGGACAACCTTCACCATGTGCACACTCTCGCCCAAACAAATCAAATGGCGCTACACTATTTCTTCCGGCTGAGTATAACTGTTTTCCCGTATCGATTTCATACCATGTTAAATATAGGAGCTGAATATTGTATTCCAACATGTATACATGTGCTCCTCCCTCATCTCTTGCAAATAATGTAACGCATCCTCTACATCCCTTGATCGTGGGAGCTTGCCTCCACATGTTCATTTTAAGAATCCTGCTCCTTCCTCTGCAGATACTGCAGCCCGTCTTCACATCCCCTATGTAAGCACCTCTGCTAAGGCTTGAATGTGGGAGCCTGCCTTTCCCCACCCCATGTTGCCTCATACAGCAATCGTGACACAGGGTCATTGTAAGGGTCCTCCTCCCTCTTCCTCAGCAGATACTGCAACCCTTCTTGCACCTTCCCTTGACATACCAGCACAAAACAAATCTCTGTCAAGGCTTGAACGTGGGAGCCTGCCTTTCCCCACCCCATGTTGCCTCATACACCAATCGTGCCACAGGGTCATTGTACGGATCCTCCTCCCTTTTCCTCAGCAGATACTGCAGCCCATTTTGCACCTCCCCCTTCACATGCGCATACAGCTCTGCTGCTGCTGCCTTGTCTGTCAGCAGGTGGGACATTCCTGGGGAGGAGGGGAAAGGTGGATGGGCGGGGAAAGTAGGAGAAGATTGTTTGGTTGTACAGCATACTCCGCAGCCCTTCTTGCACCTCCCCCTACACATGCGCATACAGCTCTGCTGCTGCTGCCTTGTCTGTCAGCAGGTGGGACATGCCTGGGGAGGAGGGGAAAGGGTGGACGTGTGGGGAAGAAGGGGGTGGGGAAGGAGTAGAGTGTTTGAGTGTTTGCTAGTAAAGCGTACCCTGCGGACCTCCTTGCACCTCCCCCTTCACATGCGCATACAGCTCTGCTGCTGCTCCCTTGTCTGTCAGTAGGTGGGACATGCTTGGTTGAAAAGGGGTTCAGGGGGGTGCAAATGGGTGGGTATGGGAGGAAGTGCTGAAGAGGAAGTAGAGGCGGTTCAGCCCCTTGGTGAGCACGACTGGCGGGATGAAGCTGCTGCTGCTGCTGCTGCTGTCCCTGCTGCTGCTGCTGCTGCTGCTGCTGCTGCTGCTGCTGCTGCTGCTGCTGCTGCTGTTGCATCCCTGCAAGAACTCTCCCCCACTTCAATGCTCAAACACTCACCCTTTGTCCCGATGGGCGCCTGCAAGAGGAAGTAGAGGCGGTTGAGGCCCTTGGGGACCACATAGCCTTTGTTTTAACAGAACCAACACTACCAGTACCAGAGAACATCATTCAAAATCCCTCCACTGCTCATCCTTTGTTCTGATGGGCGCCTGCAAGAGGAAGTAGAGCCGGTTGAGGCCCTTCGGCACCACGACTGGCGGGATGAACTGATTGGCTGCTGTCCCTCAAGTCAAGTTTTGAGGCGCCTCAAAACATTAACTGCTTGGCTGCTGTCCCTCAAGTCAAGTTTTGAGGCGCCTCAAAACATTAACTGCTTGGCTGCTGTCCCTCAAGTCAAGTTTTGAGGCGCCTCAAAACATTAACTGCTTGGCTGCTGTCCCTCAAGTCAAGTTTTGAGGCGCCTCAAAACATTAACTGCTTGGCTGCTGTCCCTCAAGTCAAGTTTTGAGGCGCCTCAAAACATTAACTGCTTGGCTGCTTTCCCTCAAGTCAAGTTTTGAGGCGCCTCAAAACATTAACTGCTTGGCTGCTGTCCCTCAAGTCAAGTTTTGAGGCGCCTCAAAACATTAACTGCTTGGCTGCCGTCCCTCAAGTCACCGCCACTACCTTTTGGGTCACCACCACCACTATCACTGCACCTTGTTTCACCGCCACAACCAGCACTCACCCTTTGTTCGGATGGGTGCTCTGAAGAGGAAGTAGAGGCGGTTCAGCCCCTTGGGCACCACGACAGGAGGAATGAATTGCTCTGCCGCCGCCCCTGCTGCTGCTGCATCTCTGCAATATTCAGAGCGGGGGAACAAAGAGGGGGGGTTGGTCAATGGTTTGCGAAGCAACAAGGGACTTGATTGGTTGAGTGAAATGTGCCACAATATTAGCCATCATGCCTGCACCATACGGCACCCCTCTGAACGTCTATGCACCTCTCTGCATCCACTGGCCCTCACAGGCATGCCTGCATGCCTTCCACATTCATGTGGCCAATAATGGGCAATCGGGCATTTCACCGCCACTGCTTTACGCTAGACCTTTACCGTCAGGCTGTCTAATATACACAGCACTACACCAGCCTGAACCGCACTGCACCTTCAACACCACAGCATTATCGCACTGCACCGCCTTTCGCACTGT